ATATCCAAGGCTATACAGGCCTTCATATGCCGACATGGCAGTCTTTCTTACAAGTCACCATGCCATTGGCGAGACCTTCGCCACCCGCACATTCCTTCCAGATGACCTTTGGTTCATTGATTACGTGCTCTTCCGGAACATCTATATGGCAGAGCACAAGATTCAGAGGAGGGGAGATTATCTGACAACCCTCTACGCCTTCTACACCGGGCACTGGGTGTCCATTCCCGCACTCATCTGGAGCGTGATGAGGAAGCTATATGACGAGTATATTAGCAAGGAAAAGCCTGGATGGGCTAAGTCTCTCCCATTCGGCCACCTCATCACCCAGATTCTTATCGACCAGCGCTACCCTATCCATCCTCGAGAGCACCCTGAGAGAGGTTCCTGTCACTTTCTGAAGAAGGACTGGACCAAAAGCTATAACGCCATTATTACTCAACTGCAGGACCACACAGTAGTGGCTGCAGAGGAGCTAGAGGCTGAGGAGGAAGCAGAGGCAGCAGCTCAGGCAGCATTTTTTCCAAAGACAGCAGCAGTAGATCCGCAGCAGATGACGCACCAGTCGATCCAGCTACTGAGCATATAGATATTGACTTAGAGCGCCCTGTAGATGACACAAAGTAGTACTCTCCAGCTGGGTCGCCCATTCACGAGTAGGAGCAGACTCAAGAGCTTTCTTTTGATTCTTCTATGCCTGAGGCTCCAGATCTGACCCCCGGCTTTAGAGTACGCCTGCAAACTCTTGAGGATGCTGTTGTTTCCATATGAGCTGACTTACAGCCCACAGAGCTAATTTTGCTGCCTTCCGCACGGATGTCGCGACTATGTTCCAAGATCTATCCAGAGATATCCGCGGAGCCCGACCTGCCCGTCCTACCTCATCCTCCTGAGTTTCCAGTTCCTTCTATCTCATGATCCCTCTCTACTATTGATACTTTATTTTTTTCACTGTACAGTACTATTATTTTTGCAGCCGGTCTGTCGGCTTTGATATTTCTTTTGTACCTGCACTTTATCTGTTTTATATATATCTGTTTTTGCTATGGATATCGTATATTATATTCTCATATCTGTATGTTTGACTCCATCAGGTGCATTACAGTGACTTCAGTGAGAGAGTACTTCCCGATTTTCAGGACCACCCTTATATCTCTCTCCCTATTTTATTTCATCATCCCATTTACACTTGCATGTCTACTGTGCACTAATTATCCCATTTTTTCATCTGATGAGTTTATTCAAGTGCCAATTTTCAGGACCACAGTTCATCCCAAGTTTAAGGGGGCAATGCCACCCACTTTGGATACTTCAGTCCCGATCATTCTATGCCTTAGTTGCACTAACATACTCTTTCCTTTGTTCTCTTTGCACATTGAGGACATTGTGCCATTCAAGTTTGGGGGGGATGGTGCTTTGCAGTGTTAGTTTTAAATTCAAAATTTGGAGCATGACTTCTGTATTTGAGAGATTTTCTATGATTGGTCCATATCTAGCTATGATTTTGATCTTTTGAGGACTATATTGCTTAAAATTTAAAAATTGCTTGACTTAAGAGTCCAATACTCCTTGTATGCCTTATGGATGCCATTTAGGAGTAAATTTTTCTAAAGATTGATATCTTGCTTACACTTGTGGTCCACATCATCTTGATTTTGTGATTGTTTTAAGATTCACTCTAGTATTCTACACTAGTACAGGCGCACACTAGCATTCATTTGTGGGGTACATGCTTTGATGATTATTGAATTGGTTATATCCCAATTAGGCTAGTAGTGCATTGAAAGCTTTCATTCTTGATAAAGGTGGATAACAACCCCTTTTCACTAAGTAGCCGGGATTCTAGCCTCATCAAGCACTGAACTTCTCAAGCCGAAAGGTGGAGGGCCCAAAGTCTAGGATTAATAATTAAACTTATTCAAAAAAATAAATAAATAAATAAAAATTTGCAAAAGCAATAAAAAAAAGTGAGGACTTCTCCCAAATGGTGAGAAATGAGAAATGATTAGATGGACGTTGTCTTAATTTGTAGCCTAGTTGATTTGAGCTTGTAAGTCTGTAGGGGTGTTTGAACGCCTAATACCCTAAAGCGGTCTGGTTTGGGAGTCATTGACCTAACGTTCGACCTCATGAATCGCTAGAAAGATTAATAGATTACTACATTGCACCATGCTTCCATCTTTGATCCTATTAAAAAAAATAAAATAAAATAAAAAATAAGCGCACCTAGAACAATAAAGCTTTAATACAAGGTCCACTTTTTGTCTTGATGATCGGTACTAGATTTGTGTGCTAGTTTGAGGGTAAGGATGTGATTAATTCTTTAGTTGGCTAAGATAACAACATATTTGATGCCGATCCACTCAAAAGGATTTTAGAGTTGTTTTGATTTGCATGATCATTTTTTTTATGTGTGGAGGACCATATTTGCTTGCTTGATGTTGAGATTTTGGGAGATTGCTTGGAAATATTTGAAAATTTGCAAAATTGAGGTAGTTTTCTCCCAATGTTTGTTTGCAATATTGGTACCTCTTTTGAAAGAATGAGCTTAATGTTTGTAGGTACCATTTCTGGAAACCCTCACGAGACTTCACTCATCCACTAGGGGTAACGTAGGGGTTTAAAAGGCTTGTTGCATATGCTAAATGCAATCGTGTTCCCTATGAAAGTGGCATTATCCATTTATTATTTTCTAGACTCTTACTTATATAATTGTTTATTTCATTGCTTTACTTTCTAGTTCGTTGCTAGGGACTAGCAATATTTAAGTTTGGGGGTGTGATAAGCGCTGAAAAGTGCGTATTTAAACCCCCCTTAAGCTTAGGCATTCTAGTACCTTCATCTATCTTACTTTACCATTTTAGATTGATTTCGTATTATTTCCATTTTCAGGCACTTATCCCGAAAATAAGCTAACTCAGCCAAATCACATTTATTGACTACCCCAGTAGCTGTCAGTGAACGACACCCGCCCACACACACCAGGCTATGAGCGGTAACTAATCAGAACTAAACACTCGCCCACTCACACCCGTCAACATCATCACCAAACTCACACTTCCGGTTGGGTACAAGCTCTGATACCATTCTGTAACGCCCCAAATTTTTCTAAATAAAATTCTCGATTTATTCAAATCAAAATACTTCATAAAAGACACCCAGGATCTCAAAAGAAATAAAATACCCTTTATTGATACAAAATCAATCAAATTTCCTCAAATAAACAAGACAACATCTCAAATTATTTAAATTGATACTAAATCAATTTCCTCAAACAAATACATAAAAATCTCTAAATAAAATAATTTAATTTCTCAACACAAACTCTTCCACCTAAGCCCGCATATAAAAATCCTCAAGCATCCTCGGTACCTGAAACTGTAGGAGGGTGAGACGGGGAAGTCCCAGCAGGAATACCATAACAAGAATTTCAAGAAGTTTCATGCAAAATTAATTTTACAAAAATATACATGTACATTTAAGCAAAATAAATATATGCAATTTTAACAAAATATCATTCAATAAAATAATTGAAATAAATCATCCAAGTCATTCAAGTATGATAATGTGACAACCCGAATTTTTTTAAGATTTTAAATTATATTTATTTTCATCATTTCTAATTGTCAAGAATGATTATTAGTGATGTTGGATCTTAATTTGTTAAGAAGACAGTGGAAGAGTATCTGTTCTTTTTTCATTTTTGGTGTTCAGTGAGTGTTTAAGTTTTAATTGATTAATGTTTATTTTGTCTTGGACATTCATGCTACTAATGCATATTAGTGGACAATTGATATATATATATATATATAAATGAGGCCAAAAGCAAGTCAAGAATGATGGCTATGAATTCTAGTTTTGGTGAATGGAAATGATAATTTGTGGGATCCACCATTAGGAGATATTAATTGTGCTTGGATTGTTAAACAAGTGGTGTAGGGATTTGTGTGTGTATATATATATATATATACTGTATATCATCTATGAAGCAAAAGGGATCAGCCGAATAGAGAAAAGAAAGGAAAATTAGAATGGCATGTGCGGGTCCCACGTGGCATGTTTTATGGTGTTAATGAGTTTGATTAATTGAAGTTTGTTGCATATAATATAAACATATATATATATATATTTTAGTGCAAAAGTAAGCTGCCATCCGAAGGTGACGAGGAGAGTTATTGGGTTGGTTTAGTTACATTGAATGTATATATATGATTTATATATATATTTATGTAATCTGTGATGATGGAAGGTGCACCAGCCGAGAATTGAGAAAGAAAAACTGTGATTGTGTGCTGCTGTGTGAGAAAAGTGAAATGCATGAATGAAAAGGTGGTGGGCGGGTTCCACTTAATTGATACTTAAGGGAGCAATTTGTGTATATATATTTGTGTTGGCAAATAGGTGTATATAAATAAAGAAAAAAAAAACAAACAAACAAACAATGAAGTTCTAATGGAATTGCAGGTCCCATGGTTAATTTTGTTTGTCTATATTAGTGTATATTATGATGTTGAATGTAATAAAGAGATAAGAAAATAAAGTAAATGGTGGCAGCTAGGTACCAGCTGTGGGAAATGAGAAAAGAGAAGAAAATGGAAATGGTTATTTCGCGGGGCCCACCTAATGATGTTAGTGGGCTTTGATTTTTGTTACAACTTGGACATGGTTGTTAGAAGAAGATGAAACAACCTGATAAAGTGATAAGAAATGTTGGCGAAAGAAATAAGTGTCTGCCGAGATGGAAGTGATTAGGTGGCGGGGTCCAGTTGGTGATATGTTTGCAAATTGCAGTGAGATATTATTGTTTAGTGTCGGTGCATTGCCTATATATATTGTTGTATCAGTTTTGTGCTTTGGAACATGATATACAGAAGGAAATAAATTAGATACAGAAGAGAAATATTTGAGATCAGAGATAGTGAGAGCCGATAGTTTGCAGAGAATGCAAGACTTAGAGATTTGATGATCCAGAGTTAATTTATTTATTTTTCATAGTAAGGTTCTTCATATCTTGAATGGCCTGGATAATTTTGTTTCAAATATTTTATTAATTGTTATTTTTCTAAAATTGCAAATATGTATTTTGTTTAAAAGCATATGTATATTTTTGCGAAGCTGATTTTGTATGAAACTCTTTGAAATCCATGCTATAGTTTTTCCTACTGGGATTTCCTCCGTCTCACCCCCTTCCAGTTTCAGGTACCAAAGATGATCTTGGATTGGTAGTTACGGGCTTAGGTAGAAGAGTTGGCGTTGAGGATTTTATTTAGAAAAAATTCGGGGCGTGACAGAATGGTATCAAAACCTGTACCCAGCCGGAAGTGTGAGTTTAGTGATGATGTTATCTGGTGTGTGTGTGCGAGTGTTTAGTATTGACTAGTTACCACTTGTAGCCGGGTGTGTGTGTCCGGATGTCATGCACTGGCAGCTATTGGGAGGATTACTATCGGTGATTAGGGGCAGGTGTCCCTAGATCACTATCGGTTTTATTTTGTGGACGAGTGACGGCATCGTCTAGTTACCACAACGGTTACACAGTGTGTGGGTGGATAACTAGCACTGTCAACTACCACAATATTTTTTCATGTCACTGATTTTCACGTCGCCTGGGGTAAGGATTTTAGGATTTTGTTTTACCACTTTTGATGTTTTCGGGTATACGAAGATTGTTCGATCTGAATTTCAGGACGAAATTCTTTTTAAGTGGTGGAGAATGTAACAACCCGGATTTTTAAGTGTTGAAATTCAATTTATTTCATGACATTTAAATTGTCATAGTTGATAATTTAATTTTTTTATTTGAAGACTTACCCAATTTAAATATTTATTGGGTTTAAATTATTATCACAAGGTATGCACTTGTATATATATATTTGTGATATATATATTAAGTTTGATTGAGCATTTATTTTAAATTGAAGATTTACCAATTAGAAATTGGTTCATTGATTTTTGAATTGGAGACTAGAGTTTAAATTTAATTTTTATTTCATTTCATGATTTTAGTTATCATGGGAGATGGCAACCGAAAATTTGTAGAAGAGAGAAGATTGAATATTTTATTTTAATTGAATTTACCCACTTTAGATTGTTAGTGGAAATAGAATTGGTTTACAGCTTTTGTATATATAAATGACCATATATATATATATAAATTGTGGCATCAGCTTGTGATGAAGGAGCAAGTTGGTTCCAAAAGTGGACTTGATTGTATATCTATTTTGGTGATGAAGGAAGCTTAATTGATGGGTTGACCGAGATTTTAAAAAGAAAAAAGTAAAATGGAATTGGTTGTCCGCGGGCCCCACTTGTTATTTAAAAGAGTTGAGAATGGTTTGATTTGGTTATGATATATATATATATATATATATATATATATATATATATATATATATCTTGTCTGCCAAAATGAGGAGCCGAGATTGGGATGAGGTGAATGGGTACGTGGCAAAAGGTGGAAGCCAATATAGGTTTTGATTTTGTGATAGTGGGCAAGTCCCACTTGAGAGTATTAATGGGTTGAATTTATTACATATATATATGTATATATATATATAGCAATTGATGAAATGATGCATAAAGGGGGCAGCCGAGATTGTGAAAGGAAGAAAGATGAATTATGGTGGCAGGTCCCATTAATTGATATTTTGGCATTATTTATTTGACTTTGGCTTTTTTTCACGTTTTGAATGATTTTAGATTGCATTCTTTGTATTTGGAATTTGATTGTTAAAGTGATATATGAAGTGATAAGGAAAAGTAAGAGATAAAGGTGATGGCGAGTCCACTAAAGTTTGTTGTCCCCTAAGCAATTGAATTGATTCATTTTAGTTTATTTGTGAAGTGTCGGTACAATTGTCTATATATATTGTGCCTTTTGGTGATGATACAGAAGAGAGAAATAAAGGAAACATTCACAGAAAGATCCGAGAGTTTCAGAGGGGGCTGGGAGCAGTGATGTTGATGACCAGTGTTGATTTATTCATTTTACAGAGTAGGGATTATCATACTTAAATGACTTGGATGATTTATTTCAATTATTTTATTGAATGATATTTTGTTAAAATTACATATATTTATTTTACTTAAATGTATATGTATATTTTTGTTAAATTAATTTTGTATGAAACTTCTTGAAATCCTTGTTATGGTATTCCTGCTAAGACTTCCACATCTCACCCCTCTACAGTTTCAGGTACTGAGGATGCTTGAGGATTTTTAGCTTCGGGCTTAGGTGGAAGAGTTGGTGTTGAGGAATTAAATTATTTTATTTAAAAAATTTTATGTATTTATTTGAGGAAATTGATTTAGTATCAATATAATTAATTTGAGATGTTGTCTTGTTTATTTGAGGAAATTTGATTGATTTTGTATCAATAAAGGGTATTTTATTTCTTTTGAGATCCTGTGTGTCTTTTATGAAGTATTTTGATTTGAATAAATCGAGGATTTTATTTAGAAAAATTCGGGGCGTTACAAGCTGCACAAGCTAAATGACTAACTGGATTACTTGCTACTTATGTTTAAGTCAGATCAGCTGCACAAGTTCAATGACTGACTGGATTACTTGCTACTTATATTTAAGTCAGATCAGCTAAACAAGTTGAATGACTACTTGGATTTCTTATGGATGGATATGATAGGATTTTTATATATATAATTATGGTACCACGATATGAGCTTGAGTCTCAGGATCGATGGTTAGGGAGTATATATGCATTGGGATGCATAATTAGCTTTGATGGTAGATGTATACCCTGTTAGGTCTAGGTACTCATGCCCACCTCTGGTGCGTGTTGCATGTTGTCTTCTATTCAGGTTAAGACCCCCTTTGTAGTCCAGTGAGAGTCCCTTAGTGTGGATATATATTTGTATAGAATAGATTAGATATTGTTGAGTTATCTAGGCTATATCTGCGTATCAGGTCTCTGTTTGGATTGTAAATAGGATGTAACCTGTTCGTGGGCCTGACCCACTATTATTGTTTCAGGTATCAGATGGTTCCATTCTTAGAGCTTGTTCGTGCTGAGCAGAGACGGTCACTCATTCTTCCGACAACGTAGGATTTCACTTTATGGTTTAGCTTTAGCTGTTTTTTAGTTGTTCGCTTTCTAGTTTGGGATTTTATTAGGGGTCCACTAGATGGATTCCCGAGTTGTACCTATATTGGAGGTTTTTGGGATTGTTGGATTTAATTATTTAATTTTAAGGATTTATATTCTAGAATTCGTTCAGCCTTTATTTATTTATTATTTCATTTTGTATTCTGTATTCATTAAAATATTAATTGTTTGGTTTCCCTCGAATCTGTACTCGGACTTGATCACCCGTGGTTCTAGAATCGAGGGGTATCACAGTTGGTATCAGAGTACTCCAGGTTCAAGTGTCTCTAAGATTCTATTATATAAGACTTCCGCGTCGCGTATTCTCTTGTTTAGAGCTTAAGTTTAGGATTCGTTGTATTCCTTTAAGGTTTGCTTAGAACGTATTGATGTCAATCTTATTCTGTAATTTCAGAATGTTTGGCACTAGGAAAAGGATGTGGTCCGCAATGAAAGCAAAGAAGGACCCAAAGAAGAGAAAGATTACTCCGATGATTCCCCTGCGAAGGCGGATCAAGAAGGCTGCATTGGAGACCAATGAATTGTTTCCAATAGACGTTGTTTCGGAGTATAAGCTAAGGAAGATTTCTGGTGTGCGAGATTGGCCACCATACTGTGGACCTAACACAACTTTGGTGGTGCTCGAAGCTGAGCCAAGTGGAGAGGAGAACCCCGAAGAAGATCATGATGGAGGAGATACCGGAGCATCCAAGATGGAGGGTACCGGAGTCTAAGGATGAATGCTCTTTTAAGAGTAATTTTAATTACTAGTAGTAGTGGAGGTATTAGTAAAAGTGTAGTACGGATTTAATCATGTACACTAGTAGTTTTTTTTTATGGTTATTCTTTTGGAAGTTTATGGTTTAAGGAAGTTTTTAATAAAGTGAACTGGTGGTTTTGGCACCTCAATGGTGTTTCATATGGTTTTTGAGATTTCCATAAATGGTTTGTTTGGAACGTGTATGTTGCGATGATAAAGGAATATCACAGTGGAGTGGTTTGTATTTGGACAAGCAAACAAATTTTTGCTTAAAGGTACGCTGTGTGAAATAGGACGATTACCAAAGAGTTTATAAAAGAACTTGTGTAAATCAATACGGTAAGTTTGGTATCCAAGTAAGAATTCTCAAGATAGAGCGATATTCTAAATATGAGTTGATTTCGGGATATTTTATATATTTTCTGTGTTTTGCTCTACGGAGTATTCAGAAATTTTGGGTTTTTATAGTTTAGTTGGTGACAAAAGTGTGAGATCGATCACCGGGTATTTCTACACTGATCGGCGATACTACCATTTTACATAAGAGTGATAGGCTTGTGACACTAGATATTGGTAGACTCAGATTTCTATTCAATCTATTAGTCCTGGACATGCACACTTATGATGTGATACTTGGGATGGATTGGTTATCTCACTGCTATGCCCAAGTTAATTGTTATGATAGATCTATTATTTTTACCGTACCTGGTCAAGATATGTACGTCGTCACTATGCCATGTTCTAACGGGGTCACTAGCACTTATTTGTTCCATATAAAGGAAGAAACGGAGGAGGAGATTACTGTGTTACTGGATAGTATACCAATTGTACAGGAATTTCCGGATGTATTTTAAAAAATTCCAAAGTTGCCACCTAGTCGAGAGATAAACTTTGTGATTGACTTAGCTCCAGGCACTACGCCTATTGCTAGAGCTCCATACAGGATGGCACCAGTGGAGATGCGAGAGCTGAGGGATCAGATTCAGCAATTACTCAGCCAGGGTTTCATTTGTTGGAGTACTTCACCCTGGGAGCACCAGTGTTGTTTGTGAAAAAGAAGGATGGTTCACTTTGCCTGTGTATAGATTACAGGGAGTTGAATAAGTTTACTATTCGGAACAAGTACCCTTTGCCCTGAATTGATGATCTTTTTGATCAATTGATAGGAGCTACATACTTCTCTAAAATTGATCTGCGTTCTGGATATCATCAACTATGGGTTAGGGAGCAGGATGTTCCTATGACAGTGTTTCTCACTAGATATGGGTCTTATGAGTTTCGTGTAATTCCTTTCAGATTGACTAACGCACCAGCAGTCTTCATGGATTTAATGAACAAAGTCTTCAGGGCTTATTTGGATTAGTTTGTTATTGTCTTCATTGATTATATCTTAATCTATTCTAAGTCGAAGGACGATTATACTAGACATCGTCGTATAATGTTGCAGACACTTCGTGAACATAAGTTGTATGCCAAGTTTGAGAAATGTGAATTTTGGCGGCAGGAAGTGAAGTTTCGGGATCACGTAGTGTCAGAAAGGAGAACAGCGGTAGATCCAGCCAAGGTATCTGCAGTGGTAGAGTGGGGACAGCCTACTTCACCTACAGAAATTCAGAGTTTCCTCGAATTGGAGGGATATTATCGTAGGTTCATTTAGGGGTTCTCAAAGATAGCGGGACCACTAACTCATTTAACTAAGAAAGGTGTACTGTTCGTGTGGGATGAACACTGTCAGAAAGCTTTTGATGAGCTTAAAAGTAAGTTGACTTCAGCAACGGTTCTGTCTACACCACAAACCGGAATAGAGTATGTTGTCTACATAGATGCTTCTTTGCAGGGTCTTAGATGTGTTTTGATGCAGGAGGAGCGACCAATTTCGTATGGATCTCGTAAGCTTAAGCCTTATGAGCTTAATTATCCAACACATGATTTGGAGTTAGCAGTTGTGGTCTTTGCTTTACGTATGTGGAGGCATTATCTATTGGGAGAATCCTTCAGATTATTTAGTGATCACAAGAGTCTGCAGTCTTTGTTTACTCAGCGGGAGCTGAATATGAGACAGCGTCGATGGTTAGAGAATTGAATGCTTATCATCTCCTCCTAGCTTTCAAAATGTATCTACACAGTTAGGAAATGTCCGTACATATAAGTACTAACAACATACTTTTCTCCCCAGTCGATGTGGGATATCGCAATCACCCCCTTTTGGGAACATGTATCCTTGCTGGCCTCACCCTCATGGGCTTGTCACACTCTCCAATTTCACGGGGGATTAGCACGATACCATCTGTCATAACTCGCTCCGTTATGTAGACATTAACTTTGTTGCATTATTCGTCCCACTATGTAAATGCATTTAGTGTGCAAAGTGGATAATATTTATACAACGAGACGTGTCATGATATTTTAATATTCAAGAGGTTTGACACTTGGATACACATTATATACCTGATTCAATGTGGTAGAGAAGGTATTTTTATCCTCTTATCATTCCAAACTAACAAACAACATGAGGATATAAGTATTGTTATTATCATTTTTTGTATATTTTTTTTTATTAAATTGTTATCGATGTCAATATTTTCCTTGTTCATTGATGGATAAAAAATAACAAGAATTGAAATAAATGATAGATAGAAGAGTGAATTGTATTTTTTACAATACACTAGATTTTTTATTTATTCCAATATTCTAATAATTTAATTTGAATAGTATATAAAATTCATTCATAAAAGTAATAATATAATAACATAAAATGTTATATTAAAATATAGTTTTGTTGTCTTTTCATTTCAAAATAATGTAAACCTCTTGTTAATATATTCTCTACACAGAGATGAGATGTGATTTCTTCGATCTTCACATGCATACACTCTCTACGCAAGGAGTTCGATGGTGTTCTTGAGAGAAAAACCTCCAGAGGGAAAGACCATCCAAAAAAATAGTCATGAGAGGGAGTACTTATTTGTTATACGTAATTTCATTTTTACAAAGATATTAGCAATGATCTCACTAAGAATAGTTTTCATCATGACTATCTTTTTATTCCTAAAAGAAATCACTACATAATTTTTTTCATCATTTCCTCATGAATGATATGATCTATACATATTGTTGGATTTTGTGGCTCGAATTAGGTGTGTATGTAGTGTTTAGGCAGAATTGAACAAGTTCAAGTCATTTGGAACTTGTTCAATTGGGGGTGAAATTGAAGATGGAACCAATTCAACTTATTTGGAACCAATACAATTAGGGGGGAAATTGAAGTTAAGGAATTAACAATTGATATCGTAACTCCTTATAGGCAAGTAGGGAATTCTTGTACAACAAGGAATTGTGAGATATAATATTATAATTGGCAATATTCGGTCTCAAAATAAAACCAATCGAGTTGTAATTTTTTATTTAAATTTTGAGTCTTAAGTTCAGAAGCGAAATTGAAGATTTGGGATCGTGTCAACATACTTCGATTCGATGAGAACATACATTAGATGATGTAAGTATGTGATGACACTTTATTTTTATCATTGGCGAGATTTTAAGATTTGGCATTTAGATTTTTTTTTCAAAGGACAATTTTACAAAAGTGCTGCCTTTGCGGAACTGGTTGCACTACTTGGTTTTCAAAATTCATTTTAAAAGAATTCTCACTGCTTTAGCGGAATCGATTACACCAAATGGAACTAGTTCACTTCCCTGAAACCAAATTGGAAATTTCTCTCCTACTCCAATTAGGTTACCTTTTTTTATCATACTTTTGTGAGACAATTATGCATGAATTAAACTTGTTTTCCAAATTAGCTTAGGTCTTAAAAAATCTATTTAAACACATTTTCTCACTTAGGGTTTTCTAAGGTTTTGAGTACAATTTCTGTAATTTTGAGAGAGCCAACTTGTGAGAATTTTCTTAGTGTTTATTTTTCATATTGAGAGCAAACATACTATACACACAAATTATTTAGGGTGTTGATTTCTATCTGATCGGAGTTCGAATCATTGAAGATCCATTGATATAGTTCAAAAAAGCAGAGTTTATATTTTTCTACATCAAATTTAGATTTGAAGAATAGGAGGGAGTGATTACACTTTGAAGGGTTTAAAGCATTCATGGAGTAATGCTTGACCTACCAACAATCCTTCTATAAGAGTCAAGGGAGTAAGCCTAAAGTCAAGAGTGTCTGGATGGGGGAGTCGCAAAGTCGAAGATATTCAACAATTGTTTCTTGGTAGAGCGAGAGGGTATGAGCCTGAGTTGAAGTCTATTGGTCTTTGCTTCGTACATAGTGGTTCATTTCACTAGAGACCGCGTGACAGCCTCCAAGGCTTTTTCAATTTGTTGGATGATTTCTCCAACTAGGTTTCATAGCTAAAAACCCAGTGTCTCTCAAAATCTACTCTATTTGTTTTTATTTTTGCTTTGTGGTTGATTAATCTATTTTACAATTCTGTAAATTTAATGAAAGCAAAATTTTGAGTAAAGCAACATGTTACACTTATTCACCCCCCTCTAAGTGTTTTGTTAAACTATATATATTCCATAACCTATTCTGCTACTCACAAGAATGGATTGAAGACTCTACAAATAGAGGTTAGGCTGAGGAGAGAAAAGTGTAAAGAGAGAAAGAAAGATATAATTGTAGAGAGTGAAAGTGAGTTGGTTTGTGAAAAGAGAAATAGTATGTAACCAAAGTATTAAATAAACATGGTTGTTTTTCGCTAGTGGATGGAGGCAATTTTTCGAACCAAGTAAATCTTGTATTATTTATGTGTGTGCTTTTATCTATCCTATTTGCCAATGGTGTGTGTCTAATTTCAACAAATGATATTAGAGCCATGGTCGCAATTCTTACAGATAGAAAGTACGTGATCGAGAAATTTGAAAAAAGAAGGAACTTTAGTCTTTGGCAAGTTCGGATGCGAAATTTACTGATTCAACATTGCCTATGAGAGACTTTGGGCAAGAAATCGAAAAAGATGGAAGATTCAGAGTGGGGAAGATAAAATCGAAAACACTGAGTGCAATTAGATTAACGTCGATGGATGATGTTATGTATGATGTGATAGAAGAGGCTTCAACAACAAATATGTTGAAGAAGTTAGAGAATTTATATATGGGAAAGAATCTCACCAACTGGTTAGTCTTGAAACAATAGTTGTATTCTTTTCTGAGAAAAAAAAGTGTAAGTTTGCAAGAACATTCTATAAGTTCAATAAGATTATTTGTGATTTATCTAATGTTGATGCAAGTTAAGTGATGAGGATAAAGTAATTATTTTCTTAACATCGGTACGCTTTACCCATAAGTATTTGTTCAATACTTTGCTTTATAGGAGGTGAGATACCATCTCGGTTGAACAAGTTAAGAGTGCTTTGTTCATTGATGAAAAATTAAATAATGAAGAGAGTTATGATGACCAGACCCAAAACTCTTATTGCTCAAGAGTGGAAGAGATTTGGAGCTTAAAAAACCCTTGTGCCATTGTTAGAGAAAAGATTCTATAAGTATGGGAGAATGAGGCATATTCAACGGTACTGTCCAAAAAGAAATGAGAGGGCATTTGTTGTTGTCGTTGAGCATGAGGCTACAAAAGAAGGGAGTGATAATGATGATGTATTATCAATCATTAATAAGAAGGGAGAAGCTAAGGAGTGGATACTTGATTCTATTTTTTCCTTTCATGTGTGTCCTCATAAAAAGTGGTTTGCTATCTATAAATCTATAAGTGGTATGGTATTTATGGGAAATAATGCTTCTTATGATATTATGAAAATTATAACAATTAAAATCAAGACAACGAATGGTTTGATAAGAACCCTAACAAATGTATGTCATATTCCTAGTGTTAGAAGTAATATGATCTATGTGGGAGTATTGGATTCTAAGAGTTCTTGGTGTGAAGTGAAGAATGGATTGATGAAGATTAGATGGGGCAACGTGTTATGCTTTTGGGAAGGAAGATCTTTATATTTTGTTGGGAAATACTATGTTCAGTGGAGCAATTGCAAAAATGGAATGTAATCATGTTTCAAGATCTACTAGAGTAGACAATCAGGAGCAGCAAGAGAATGAAGAAGTCTTGGCAATTGCAAGAGCACTAACCTTTATCCGAGAAGCAAGAAGAGTTCAATTTGGTGATGCGAAAGTAGATTATAGGTTCAATTATTTGAACTTGGAATTTGCTTAGAATAGGTAAATGTAGTGGAACGACGAAGAGCGAAAAGAGGAAAGAAGATGCTAGGTTTAAGGTGGAGAGATCTTTGTTTGAGGTGGAGCTATGGAGGAACATGTGAAAATCGAATTCAAGCCAAGGTGAAGATTGTTGGGTTTTGTGGCTCGAATTAAGTGTATATGTAATGTTATGGAAAAAGTGAACAGGTTCAAATTATTTGGAACTAATTCAATTAGGGCGAAATACTGAAATTGAAGATGGAACCAGTTCAACATATTTGGAACTGGTTCAGTGGGGTGAAAATTGAAGTTAGGGAATTTGAAATTGATGTGGTAACTCCTTATATGCAAGTTGGGAATTCTTGTACGACAAGGAATGGATTGAAGATTTTATAAGTAGAGGTTAGGTTGAGAAGAGAAAAGTATATAGAGAGAAAGAAAGATATAATTGTAGATAAAGAAAGTGAGTTGGGTTGTGAGAAGAAAGAGTGTGTAACCAAATTATTGAAGTAAAGATTGTTGTTTTTCACCCGTGGATATATGCAATTTGCTAAATCACGTAAATCTGGTCTTGCTTGTGTGTGTACTTTAATCTGTTCAATTTGCCAATGGTGTGTGTGATTTTAACAATTTTTAAATGGAAAAATAATGAAAAAAAATACATTAATATAGATTTAGTAGGACAATCCACACCAATGAACAATGGCACCACAATTAATGAAACTAATTACGAGTATTTTATTTAGTAATGAAGATTTTTTTATTTTTATTCCAAGAGCAAATAATTAGATTAAACTTAGAGCACATTACAATTCATAAATATCAAATCCAAAAGCGAAACAGGCCACACATTCCATTCTAAATCAGAAGCTCTAACCATATGTATCAAATACATATGTTGATCTTCCACTTATTTGATCCAAACTGAGTCGAAAACCAAACCAAAGCACTCTCTAGCTTAGACAAATCTTAATTTTTCTTGAGGAATTTTTTGATCGAAAGGGCTGAGTACTTAGGGTATCTTTTCAGTCCATCTTTGAAATCTACATAGTTGAGACCGAACCTTAAAGTGTATCCTGAGCCCCATTCGAAAGTGTCAAGAAATGTCCATGCAAAATAGCCCTTAATTTTGACACCCTCCCTGTCAACATCCAATCATTAGTATTGGCTTGTTTCGAAAACTCAAAAAATTAAGAGCTTATTTGGTTCAGTTTTCTATTATTGTAGAACTAAAATCAGGAATAAGTGTACAAAAGCTGGTTTCGTTAGTTTTCTGAAAATTCAATTAAAAAAGTCTGTTTTTAGATGATTGACTTTTAAAATTTTGTGAGTTTTTGAAAACTGTTTATAAATATTGCTTGAATTTTTGGGGAAAAAAAAAAAAAAAAAATTTCCTGTTTTCAAAATTTAAACTAATTTTTATTTTTCTTTCCAAATTTTCAAGACATGCACCAATTCTATACCAAATGCAGCGATAAAAGAGTAAACTCACTCAATGGCTTTTTTAACGGCCAAAAGATGGCGGTAGTAGAAATCTATCCTCTGATAATCCTTGATGCCTTCCTTAGCTGTACTATTGTTATAATCACCCATACCTTGAAAAAAAATGTCAAGAAATTAACTCCGAAATAAGGTGAGTTAAAATTGTATCAACAAAGTGTGAAGTGATCAATTTAGAGGTGATATTTGCCCTACCATTTTCTGTAATGAAAATAGTTGGATTGTTGTATTTTTCTTTTGTATAGACCAGAAGATCATGGAGTCCTTGTGGATATACGAAAAAAGTGCTAACACCAGTCTGCAAAATTCATTTGTTAAAAGTAAATTATGGTAGGAAATAATAAATAAAATAAAATTTGTTAGTATAAATTTGTTGATGTGCTTGTAGTTTTCTTTCAGTTTGCAGATGTTGACCTGCTTTTGCTTTATTTCTGCTTAGGAGATCTGTGTTTGTCCTATTTGGACCTCCCTATAAATTCTTTCCTTCTTCTAATACAAGCTTACCTTCTAACTAAAAAAAAAAACTTACCGGGTCACCAATTGGTATTCCATTTCGGTCCGCTGTGAAAAATAAAAAAATAAATTACAATGTGACTGAATGCATTTGAAAAAAAAAAAAAAAAAAAAAAAAAAAAAAAACCACAAAAAAGGAATGTCAGCATTTTGTTTGTATTACTAGAATACATTCATATCTTATTTTCGAGTTTTGAAAGCAAAAAAGTTAAAACATATGGGTCTGTTTGATTTGGTTTTCTAAAAACAGTTTTGAAGAACTCAAAAAATAGAAAACTGTTTTCAAATAACTATATAAACACATACTTTTTACCTTGTGAAACCCGAAAGCACCTTAATTCAAGTAACAAGCTTTGTAATATATGTTTTAGAATGAACTTACTTGTAAGATTAGCAAGATTATCAGCTGTGGCACTGACATTAATAGTATTAGCAAAAGGAACATTAGCAGCAAAATTTGCAGTGTAGTAATTGATTCCAAGAAAATCCATGGAGCCTTTGACCATTGCAGATTGCTCGGCAGTGAACTTTGGTAATCGTTTTCCAACTAGCCTCCGCATTATAGGTGGATAATCACCATAAGTTACCGGGTGAAGAAACCTGTAGTTAAAAATAAAAAATAAAAAACAACGTATTTGTATTATTCATTTTTTTAAAATTTTTTGTACATATTTCTAAAAAAGGTCTCAATCTGATGATTAAATATAGAGAATTCATAGTGTTAAATTTACAATATGTACTCACCATCCATACATAAAATCAAGGGCTCGTCGGGCTGCCATATGGTTAATTTTGGACCTCGAGTAGGGCACAAACCAATGAGACACTAGTGTTATCCCTATCTGGCCCTTTTGCTTGGCCTACACAAAATCACCACCATTGAGAATAGTTGTCAAATACATTATTCATATGATGTTTTTTTTTTTTTGGTAATTTTTTATTCATTCATATGATGTTACAACTTGGATAAGTTCAATTTTCCTATATGTAAAGAACTTCATGGAGAAGAAAAGTACGTCAAAGGACATATAACATCCATTGCTATGTCAAATGAAGGGACATATAAACTAATTCATTTTGTGAATTCGACCATGGAATATATATGCATATATATATATATGAATGTCTTTTTAATTAATCACCTGGTATTTCTGCTTGTACAGTTTGACTGTTGATGCATGACAAAGGAGCAAATTGTGGCCAACAATATAAGGCTCAGTCGCGGAGTTACCGGCAGGGCAGTCGTTGTTCATCCAAGAAGAACATCGTCCAGGTGCGGAGGCGCCTGTATCATAGCCACCGGAGGTGAAAATCCATGGTTCATTCATGGTGAGCCAATGCTTTACTCTGTCACCAAATTCTTTGAAGCAAAGTTCAGCGAAATCAAGAAAGTCATCCCTGCCAATCAAAAAAAAATTCGAATTGTTTACTCATCAGTTTGAGAAATTCAAATTATTTTAAGTTATTAAATTGATTTACCATGGTAACATAAATTCAGAAGTTTTTCTAAAATAATAAATAGAACACATGGAAAACCTCTGTTTTTTTTTTACTAACTATTAGACCAACTTAACTTGTATAGCACGGTATCCTTTTTCTTTTCTTTTTTTCTTTTTTCTTCCTTAAATGTAAATTGAGATTTATTAAAAATACCATAAAATATTGAGGATTTTACTTACAGAACCCGAGGGCTTAAAAAGCCACCATACTCCTCATGTAGAGGTTGGGGAAGATCCCAGTGAAAGATTGTCACCAAGGGTTGTATACCTGACCATTTTTTGGATAAGTATGGGAGAGAGGAGGCATTTTTTGCAGAAGAAATGTGTGTTTGTGTGTGTGTGAGAGAGACAGAGAAAGAGAGAGAGAGAGGGACGAACCATTTGCTAGTAGCTCGTTGATGAGATTGTTATAGAAGGCCACACCTTCCGTGTTCACTCCTCCACTCAGCTTCCCAGCTAATTTACAAAAAATTAAACAAGAAAAAAATTGATCATAAGAAAAATATGGAAAAAAATTGTATATGCCAATACTTTTATTACGTTTGGTGTGTGTATATATACACATATGTGTATATATATATATAATATTCTCAGCAACTGATTACTCTGTGACAATGGTTTTCAAGTGTGATTAGGAAATTATTTTCAAAGTAAAAAGCTCAAAGTACTTATCATTTATCAATGCAAAAGCAAATTGGCATGAGCCATGAGCTGACCCAGATCATTTTAATTATGGGGGCGGAAATAGTAGCATGAACCTACATTTGAAAAATTAATAAAGTGCAATATTTTTCTTTATCATGTAATATTTTATAAATGTAGATCTAAGAAAATTATTAATAAATGAAAAGTATTCCATAAATCATTAAAAATAAATAAAGTTGGAATTATTATTATTGTTCATTATTTATTATTTTTGGAACTTTGAACTTTCTTTTAAAAAGTGAACTTCCAAAATTTTGAAACTCACTATTTGAAGGGCAACTATTTTGTTTTGAATTTTCCAAACATTTTGAGGGCCATGGTCGCCTACAATCATAATTATAAATGAGTAAAAGGTAGAATTTGTCGATCACTAAAAATTAAATTTTATAATTTTTCCAAAAGGATAAAAACTTATCCCTTGCTTAATCAAGTCTTTTTTTTTTTCTTTTTTTTTTAAATGGCAATAACGTCTTTCCAATCATTGAATGAGAATGACAATAGTTAATAAACCTTAGATATTATTTTAAAAGGTTAATTTCATTAATACCCTTCAAATTTGGACAAATATCACATTAAAATATACCCCTAACTTTTTAATACCTTTTATTTCAAAATATGAACAATTTAAAAGAACAGAATTGTTACACCAACACCCCCACCATTGTTACATTCTTCAAGCTTTCCTTATCTCTCTAGTGATTAATTAAAGTAAAATAATAATAAATAAATATATATATATATATATATATATATATATATATATATATTTGCAAACATGTACATGTGGTGGGATTGGGGTCTACATTTTGAAGATGGAATTTAACACACGAAAAAGTCGTTGGTTTACCAATTAGTATTACCTAGCTATTGATTTATTATTAGAAGTTTTAGTTGCAGAGTTTTACGTGTACATACATACATACATATATATATATAGTAAGCTTCATATTCTGGATATGGGTCTCATTATTGAAGAATGACTCAGTTAAGTGTTTCGTGTTAGTTGTATACTAAGATCAGTTAGTGCACCTTCTTAAAAAAAAAAAATCAGGGGAAAAGGTGAATAGCGCTCCATTGATATATTTTTTCTCTGCTCATAAGAGATATAACTTTTTTTGTAAGTCTAAGATACATAACTGAGCTAGTAAAGGGAATTGTAAATATATATAAATAAAGAATAATTGTAAATTTATAAAGTAAAGGATACATTCAACCAAAAAAAAAGAAGAAGATATATTCAAGTTATTTCAACCTTTATTCTAAGTCAACATAGAGTCAAATGGGGTAATAAAGTTCTTTTACATGTATAAAGTAAAGTTCTTTTACATGTATAAAGTGGTCTAAGTGTCTAGCACATGTGAAAAGTAATTTTTGAGGTATTAGGGAAAAACGTGAGTGATAATTATTTTTGAAAGGTATTTTAATTTGATATTTGACAAAATATGTCAATGTAATTAATCCTAGCTATTTTAAAATTTTCATACGACAATTATGTTATACAGAGTAAATCTTTAAGAATTACTATTTCCGTCTCATATTAGTTGACCACTTCAAAAACTTTGACTCATGATTTTTGTGAATTAAAATTATCGAAATACACATCTAATGTGGAACGAAGGTATTATATAAATATATAAAAAAAATATATTACTAAAAATAATGTCAAATGACTTACAGATAAATAATGATAGAGAACCAAAATTTTTAAAGAGAAGAACTAATATGAAAGGCAGGGAGGAGTATTAAAGTCCCACCTTCCCTTTATAACAACAAAAGAAATGCTCTTATTCTATAATATTTTTAATCACGTCAATATTTAATCTATGATCGGGTTGGTGTCCGGTAAATAAATATTAGAATATGTAAAACTCACTTTCATAGCATTTAATAATTATTTTTTCAAAAAGTGAACAATATATATATCCCATTTGTCTTGAACTCTTGACTTTTTATACCACCGACACAATCGTACGATAATTTCAATCATAAACATTTCAAATCATCTTTCATCTATAAAAGATATCAAGATGTCATATCATGTTTTTAAGATAAGAAAGATGAAATCATGTCAAATAAAATACATTAAACATTTTTGGTCAATTGTGAATGTTTCAGTTGTATGTTTTTGTCATTTTTATCATGGTCGCTATAGAGTGTACAATAAATAAATTTATTCATTATTAAACTTTTTGAACCTAGGGTTTTGAGCAATCATGAAAGTGCACACCAGTAAAAGCTGTTGGGGGACAGTACAGCAGAAAAAAACGTGGCTCTGTTCAAGCCCATGTTCAATTATGCAGTATATCAGGCATGATTAATTTGATGTTCATGTCACAAATTTTGATGAATGAAAATGAACGGTAGAGATTAATTCATCTTACTAGGCAGTACTCTGGGCCAGCAGATAGAGAATCTGAAAGCATCCAACCCCATAAACTTCATCAATTGCACATCTTCCTGCAACACTCTTTTCAGTTAAATTTATAGCAAACTAAAATAAGGTTAAAAAAAGTGATCAGATATACTTTTAATAAGTAATAGTAGGGAAGTCTGATGGGAGATCAAATTCGACTCATTGTCTAAAATTATGCAATACATATTTACCAAGTAAATTTTTTTGTTACGTGTGTGTGTATACATATGAATACAATACCTTGTAACGATAATAAAAATCGTCGGCTACATCCCCATTGCTGCGGTCGGTTATTTTATCTACAATACCATAATAATATTAAGAAAAAATTATGTTGACTCTGTACTTTCTTATTCTGTTGTATTGATTAAATACTGACATATAGTGATTGAACTCATCACTCATTAAAGTAAAATATTTTTATTTATGTGACAAAAATATAATTAGTTGATGACACATATGTAATTATATAGCCTTTCTCACTCATTAATTAGGGCATTCTAGCTTTTAGTCATGACAAACCCTACCTCCAATAAGGGTTCGGGTTTAAACATAATGGGCCCATGGGATATAATCAATCATTTAAGATTGATTAATTAAGCATCTTCTTTTATAGTTTGTTTGTTTTGTTTATATTGTTTTGTTCATGTTTTAATTTGTTTTGTTTTTTTCCCTACGGGTGACAATAGAGGTTGAATAAAGCATGTGTTTGGATGTCCCTTGTCACATGATATTGAAATTGACTACTTTCATCTTGGTTTGGATATCATAATCCAAGTAAAATAAATGGGTGTCAACGTTAGTTATTGGAAAAAAAATAATAATAAAACAAGGATGGTCATTTTAATGATTGTTGTCACTCTCAACCCTATTAGACACTAATTAATATAAGAATGCTTATTCTCTTTTTTTATTATTATGTTTTTTTTTTTTTTTTGGGTGACAAAGAATTAGGACGTTGATTAAGTGAACTCTCGATGCTAAACAAACTCACGCTCATTCGTGTACACCTGTTATGCATATTATATAAATATCATCTTAATCATAACACTTAAAAGTGAAATTTCATTTTATCCATAAATTCATTGACTCCACTTGATTATTTTTTTTACAAGGAAGATAAATGGTGAAAAAGGACCTACAATCTGTATGAACACTGGATTACTAGAAGACGAATTTCATAAAAAGTCTTTTAAATGATGTGACTTATTTTAAAATTAGGTGTAAACTCATCTTTTCATATATATGTGTGTGGTACAAATTAATGAGACATTATTATTATTATTATTATTATTATTATTATTATTATTATTATTTTTTTTTTTTTTTTGTCATTCAAAGGCACAGGCCAAAAGTCAAGATGGTAGTATTGAAGCATAAAGCCAAATCAGAAAAGGCATACAAATCTTGAAATAAAGTAAATAAATAAAGAACAGGTTCTATATTTGTTGAAGAAATAGAGCCCAACACTCTACAAATGAAACCACCATAGGAGAACGCAGCAAAATGGAGAGACCGAAAGGTCTAGCCATCAGCACGGCCACTGTTCCAAAGTTACAACCACAAAGCGTTCCGACACACAAGAAATCTCGCACAAGATCAAATCAAGGGAAAAAAGATTAAATCGAGGCAGGAAAAAATAAAACCGACCTAAACCAGAGATCTAATCAGAGGAAATAATAGATCCGCTCATGTGATCCGAAAACGAACCAAATATAAACAGATCTAGCCGAAGAAAAACAAAAACGGCATAAAAAAATACCCACAAAACACACTTATTGAAAGCTGTGGGAGGCGATCATCATCTTCCCACTTCCATGGAAGGGAGTAGGGAGGCAGAGTGATGAAGAAGACCAAAGGGTTAGAGAGAGAAAGGTAGAGAGAGGTGGGAGAGAAAGTTAGGGCGGCTGCCAATTTTAATGAGACATATATAAGGTGAGTCTTCTCTAGCATTGCCCTAAAAGAATATTCGAAGGATTTGTTTTTAATTAGTATCAAGGCGAATAATCGAAGAAGATTTTCGATTATTAACAAACTCAGTCGATTTTCGATTCTGTTAACTACTCACATGGCCTTGGAGGATAGTTTACACACCTTTTTTATTTTTTATTATTTAATGGAAAAACTCTCCTCTTTGTAGAATATACACTAATGTAGTTTTCATATAACATATATATATATATATATATATATATATATATATATATTTTGCAACATATAACATATACAAGTACCGAATATATATATAACATATTCAAGTAGTTGAAAAAAGATTTTGTTTGAATTTAGTGGAGCCCAGCTACTCTCTTTTCCTGTTTGAAAGTACTAAGTGCACTCTCACAAACAGGTATATGTAATAGGTATATATATATATATACAAGTGCACTTACACACGTAGTGACGTATCTGTATATATATATATATATATATATATATATATATTCTCATACAGAGTGGTGACCTCTTGTTCACCAGTCACCACTCTGTATGTATATATATCATATATATACAAGTACACTTCTGTATGTATATATATCATATATGTATATATATCATATATATACAAGTACACTCACAGACGTATCTCTTTATATATATATATATATATATAAACAAGTGCACTCTGAGTCTGTCTCTCACACGCAAGTATATGTATATGTATATGTATATGTGTGTGTATATATATAGATTAGAGAGAGACCTGGATATGTGTGAACGAATTTATCCCATATGCTTGGGCCTTTCCCTCCTTCTTTTGCTGCGCCTTCATACTGAAAAATCATACATCAAACACAAATAAATTAAGAATGTGATCAAGATTTCAAATGCGAATTAAGTTTCGTTATCTTGAAGCTGAAAAATTAGGATGAGAAGTCAAAAACTCATATATATACATACTTGGTAGGCAGCTGAGGATGCTCCAAATAAAAAACCATCAGGAAAACTGCTACGATTAAAAGAAGTTGACACTCCACTAGCTAAAGCAAACTCAGTCCAAGCCAACGAGTTGACCAGGACCACCAGGACAAATAGTAGAGAGCCTTGAATTGCCATGCTCAATCTGATGCTTTCACGTTTCTCCTCTTCACCCTCTTTAAATAGATTTTACAAAAATGTAATGATAGGAAAATCGAGAAGGAATCAACGAATTAATACCAAATTTAACATGGTTGGTTATACTTATCACGTGTTAAATAATTATTTTTTAAAAACTTTTTAAATAGATGAGATAGACAAAAACACGTCAGATTCAATATTTATTCGGAAAAATCATTTGGTGACCCTATCATTTTCCATTAGAAAAATATTTCATTTCATATTTTATTTTTATTTTTATTTTTATTTTTTACTTTTTACTTTTTTTTAGAGGGAAAGATTTGAAAATTAGGATATATGTTGAAAAGCTATCCTTTATTAAAAAAATGTATATATATATTTTTTATTTACTATTTTGGTTTTGAAAAAGACATCGTATCCAAAGAGACTACAAAACTCAGAATTGGAGATGTTTTTGTTGTATCATGGAGCGGACTTAAAAATATATGGGTATCGATAGCAATTTTATTTATAATATGCCTCATGCTCTCCCATGCCATGAGTCATTAATCATTGAGGTGGATATAAATCATTTGAGAAATAATACAAGAGTCAATACATTCAACTAAAATTATGAGTGAATAATCATTTTTATATTGAGTATTCTCTCATAAAATATGTTAAACCACCTATTTTAAATTCGTACTATTTCTTCTTTTTTTTTCATAAATGCCCTGCTGGGGATATGAATCCTTGACTTTGATTAAATTTGTTTTAGTTACTAAGATGATGGACTTTCACTTCTTTTGGTGACCATATTGTTATTTTTCTTGAGGTGAGTTTAATAAAAACGAAAACATCCTTTTTTTTATGTGGTGGTAGAATGCGAACATTTGCCCTCTCCATATCTCACAATTAATGGGATTTCTTTTTCTATGTTGTAATATTCTTTTTTGTAATACCAAAGAATTGGTTCGTTCCATCATTTTAGAGCTAGATGCCCAAGTGATAAATGTGTGAATTAATTTTTAAGATTAATTTCACTACCATCTCCTCAGATTTAGTCAAATATAACAAAAAAATAATTTTCAAAAATTACAATCACTCATAATGCAAATATTTGTTTCGTTTTTTACTTGCACCCCAACCGTCGCATGACACCATGTGAAATGACTTTAATATCTTTTGATTTTGTCAAAAGCGCTATTTAACCTAAATAAATATATTAAAAGACTAAAGCAGTCCTAAATACTTTGCATAGTTACAATTGTATTTTATATATATATTATATAAATATGCACCGGCAAAGCTAACATCCCACTAAAACCTGACACCTCATTAAAACAACTGACTTTTTTGTAATTTCATAAAACCCTATCCTCACCAACAACTCTTACCACGTATCTACATTATCTTCTCTCCTAAACCTAATCCAGACACGCCTCTGTACTTGTCGATGCGTCATCTAATGTCTCCGACCGACAGTGCCAGCGACAAAATAAAATTCCTAATCCAATGGCTCCACCCATGGAATCTTGTTCGCGTTGTCCATTGTTTCCAGCCAAGTTTTTCTCTGCCGGCGTCTATTTATTCCAGCATTCCGCTGCCAATACTGTCCTTTTTCCGGCCAAACATTCCACTGCCAACGTCGTCCATTATTTCCGGTCAAAATCCATGGCCGTTCATGTTTTCCGATCTAAAGCGACAGTGATATCTGCAATGTCAATCAAGCCTTCCAAGTTTTCTCTATTTTTCCTTTTCTTTCCAAATCCTTCTAAGGAAAGGAAAAGGAACCAAAAGAACTGTTTATGGAAAAAATAAGAATAATTAAAATAAAAAAAAATTTGGTGATGAAGGGAGAAATTATTTTTTCTTTTATATTCTACCCGTCTAGACTTTGTGGAAATAATTAAATATAGGAAAATTTACTCACCTTAATTCCTCCAATTTTGTTAGTCTGGAAAACCAATTCGTTCTTTTTAGTTTCTCCACAATTCCTTACCCTGAAAAATTATTGTTCTTCAATGTCTCTCTCTCTCTCTCTCTCTCTCTCTCTTCCAGCAACTACATGGAATATTCCCTTTTGAATTACTAATATTTTTGGATGTTGTTTTATGGTTTTACTTTACAAGTGGAGATGTAGATTAGGCCGGCCCTGGAAGAGAGGGTGTGTGAGTGACGCTGCCGGCTCTGGAAGAGAGGATGTGTTGGTGAGGGTGATGGGTAATTTCGTCCTTCCAAATTTTTAAATAAAAGATATAAAAAATTAAAGATAAAATTGTCATTCTATACTCATTTTAACGGTGCCAATGCTAGTGACGGAAAAGTAATTTAAGATGTGAGTCATAGTATTTTTCGAAAGATATTTAAAGATGGTATTTGACTAAACTCAAAGGGTGCCAGTAAAATTAATCTTAATTTTTATTTATTAATTGATGTGGCAATTATTAATTTTTTTTAAAAACTAATTTAATATTCTAAAAAGAGAAACTTAATTCTTATTAAATATCAAATACCGAAAAGAGTATTTTATAACATTATTCTTTTAAGAAAGAGATAAATTGTAGTAAGATTGATATTTGTAACATTATTTTGTAAGAGTTTAGGCTGACCATGTTAGGCATTGTGAAATTCTGACAGCTGTGGTTGAACCCTAGCCATTGTGAGACTCTCAGGGTCGGTAGGTGTCACAACAAGGGGTTTTATAATTTCTCTGCATAATCATCACAGGTGTTTCTGTGGAGGGATTGGGATGGGTGGTAATAAGACAATACTTGTGTTATCAAGCATTTAATATATAAGATATTTTCTTAAATAAGTTTTTATAATTTTTATTTATTAATTGATGTGATAATTATTAATTTTTTTAAAAAACTAATTTAATATTCTAAAAAGAGAAACTTAATTCTTATTAAATATCAAATACCGAAAAGAATATTTTATAACATTATTCTTTTAAGAAAGAGATAAACTGTAGTAAGATTGATATTTGTAACATTATTTTGTAAGAGTTTAGGCTGACCATGTTAGGCATTGTGAAATTCTGACAGCTGTGGTGGAACCCTAGCCATTGTGAGACTCTTAGGGTCGGTAGGTGTCACAACAAGGGGTTTTATAATTTCTCTGCATAATCATCACAGGTGTTTCTGTGGAGGGATTGGGATGGGTGGTAATAAGACAATACTTGTGTTATCAAGCATTTAATATATAAGATATTTTCTTAAATAAGTTTTCATTACTTCTCTGCATAATCCACACATACCTCTCTGTGCCTCTGTCAAGGTCTTGATATGAAAACTGTAACAGCAACGTGGTTGGCTAATAAATGAGAAATACAAATCAATTCCTAGTAAAGATGTTATCCTACTTTCATAATCAAAGTAACATGATGATGGGAGTTCGAAAACGAAAAAATTAAATTTTAAATAGTGAGAATGGGTGAGAGCGTATAAAAATAAAAGTAACACATATTAAGAAGAATTATGTGACTTAATTCATAACAAAAAAAAAAATTAATTCTTTACATGAATAAACATAATATAACTTTATTTATTAAATTAATGGGCAATACTTATTACTAATGATCACCTAATATACGTGAGTAATGATAGAAAATTCGACAATAAAATATATCTGATTAAATTTATGTGAGTAGGAAATAATGTTGACATATTTAGTGACGTCATGATAATATCATTCTTTACTCACATAAATTAATAAAATATATTCGAAAGCCAAAGTATTTACCGTTATTCAATATATATTGACCAAAGCAGGTAAATTGCCTGCAATATTTATGACCATTGTATGATGTTTCTGACTAAAATAGAATGATACTTCCTAGAGAACTCAATGAACTCCAGTATTGCCCATCCAAAATGATGAGTGAGAATGATGGAAGTTTTTGGAGTTTGAATCACAAGTTTAATTTATGTTATCGCTTTGCAAATTTCGATCTTGGGATAGATATATTTTTTTACTAAGATTGTCTTATATATTTTATTTGGATGTTCTTTAATTTAAATTCCCTTATTTTACTTTTTTTTTTTCGTGTTATGCGTGGTTGATATTTTGACATGCAGTCAAATTTGTAGGGGATTTTTTTTTTTTTTTTTTTAATCTCTAATATAAACACTCATTATTAATAGTGAAATTTCTCATGGACTCTGTTGTAAGAGATGATTTTATAATAACGACAACCACATTCATAATTCACTCGAATACTTTTGAGTTTCAAATTACCTACTTTTATTTAAATTATTTATAGTTAAATTTGTCACTTTATTACACATAATACATTTAGAAAATATTTTTTCTTCGTGCACCACAAGATAGATGAAAGCCTACACATAAATTTCGTATCTGCAAATAAAATAACGAAATAAAAAACAAATAATAATTTATTAATTTATAATAATTTTAGTACAATCCTCTGAGGTATTCTTTACAAAAAAAGAAAATATCCTCTGATTCAATCTCCTTTGTTGATTGGATCCAAGAGTTGTTGGAGCTTAATCTTAAATCGTGTTGTTGACAATCTTTTTCAAGTATTTATAGTTGAGGAAGACCGACGATGATTTCTGATCAAGGGTTAAAGAAGCTTGATCTTGAACAGTATTGTTGAATCGCGGAGAAAGAACGACACGATTTTGATGTGCTTGTTATTCTTTGTTGAATTTGAGGAAGAACGGCACGATTTTGGTTGTAATTGTTGCTCTTCTTATTCAAGGCTTAGGTGTTGGGGATGAATGTCGGCAAAGCTTCGATATTTTACTCTAAAATTCTGGATTTCTAGAATTCTCTATTTCTAGACTCATTCCTCCTTCTTCCATGCCCTTCTTGGATGAATAGGATGATAATATGTGTCCTTTCTTGATAAACGCACACTTATAACTGGGGCCGGACAAATTATATTATGATAATTATCTATTAAAATAAATATTCCCAAATATATTTAATTAAAAATAATTATCTTTTTATTTAACTAACTAAACTTGGCTAGTTAAATATTTTAAGTTGACCAAATTTGGACCAACTAAATA